ATGGTCCTATTTGTATGCCCTGCTATGTGTTATAACTGTGAAGATCTAACTGCAAAATGGAAGCAGATTGCTACTTGGAGATGACAGTAGCTCCCTATCCTAAGAAACATGGCCAGAATGATTCCAGAGAATCAGAAATGATTCTTATGTCTGCTCTTTACAGCTTATATTTTACAGGCAGAAAATGACCACGATTTATCAAACCAATAATGGTGGTACTCTTTGCAAATTGTCCCCTCAGGGGTTTATAGTTCTGACTTTGTGCAAATTGCATCTGTTTTGTAGATTTGGCACGATTCCTTCCTATCATTATTTCAACAGAGACCTGGAGGAATCTGGTAGATCAGGAAACAAAACAGGGTAGTCTGGACAATGTATAGGTAGAAACTGGTGAAATCCAACAAGTCGTGTTGGGTGAAGTGTGAAAAGTTATGCAATGAACTGGGTTTTCTGGTTACCTGAGGGAATGCAGCTTTAAGGGTTGGAGAGGTAAAATATCTGTCATACAGAAGGCAGTTCTATGGCAAATCTGTTGGGATCAGCACCTTGAGATGCAACAGATCTCCAGCTCAGACAGCCAATTAGCAGTTCAGGTGGGCTCAGTTGGTTCTGAGTCCCCAACCCTGGCTCAGCTGAAAAAGACTGTATCCAATCCGAAGTGTCTTACTTTGGACAGATCATGGACAGAATGATATATGAGGCATGCAGTCACCGACTGTCTGAATGGAATGAGGTTATTGCTGCTCGAGATACTGCATAGAACTGAAAATATCAGGCGATGGAAGCCTAAGGTGAGCAAGAAGTCCAGTGCAGGCAGCTGATGTTATATCCAGACACCCACTGTACAAATGAATTTAACATATCCTTTTGGAGATATGCCATATCTCATTCATAAGAGAGCCTGGGGTCAATTTATATGATGAAGCTCAAGAATAAATCTTCTACATTTGAGAGTGCGGTACAAACATTGTCCCTGCGAGGCTTGCATATGCTGATCAACTGGCTTCAAATCAATGTGAATGAGCAACGGCTAATAATATCTTTGCCTCTAGGAAATAGGTGCAGAGAGTACAGCTGCCCTTCCTTTTCCAATGTTTGCCTTCCAAATGTTATGGTGTTAGCAGCAGCGGAGGCTATTAAAGTTGCAAACACAGTTCCAAAATACCCTCTTATTTTCATTACTCAGTTTCTGAAAGGGTAAGATCAATTTTCCTTTGGGGATGACATTTTTACAACCTTAAAGGAATCCAAATGTACGTCGAGAATATATTTTAGGCAAGCTCGTTCAACTGTTTCCGCACTAGAAACGGAGGGGGTGGGTAGTTTTAATTAGCTGAAATCACTCAAAGCTACCAGCAACTGCTAACTGAAGCCTTTCAGAAATGTTTCTGGCTCTTTATTGCAGCTGCTTACTATTTGACACATTTATTAAGAGCAACAGTTTCCTGGATGCAATACTGAGAAATAGAGAAGAAGAAGAAGAAGAAGAAGAAGAAGAAGAAGAAGAAGAAGAAGAAGAAGAAGAAAGTGTTTGGGAGAGTTGAACAAATGTGAGGATACAGGACATACAAGGACTGAATATGAGAAATGGGGAAAGAATGGCAGAGAGATGGAGGAAGAGACTTAACTACAAGAGAAGATGGATGAAAAATGAATATTTGCATGGTGGTGTACATGATAGATTTGCTCCATGCTGATTTGCCACACCATTTGCATACAGTGAATAGGGAATGGGTATCATTTCGTAGCCACCTGAGATGCCTGTTAATGGATGATGTTTCTGCAAATATAGGCTTCTCCGCTCCCTGCAATGACAAGGGCTGTTTTCAGGGACAGTTCTAGAAGGACAATGGTGAAAGTAGGTGAAGACATGTCCTCAACACTGCAGCAAATGGAAAGCCCTTTAAGCATTCTAGATCAATATGTTCATCTTGAAGCTCCAGCACGTAATGGACGCTTACACAGTTAAAGGGTGGGCGGCTGTTGTGACCCACTGTGGCTGCTTCACCACCCTCTGGAGCTGTGCCATGCTCCTTTTGGCTGTTGGGTGTTCCCCTGGCCACCGCAGAACATCACAGGTTCCCGCCAGACCCATTTTGAATCCTAGCCAATCAGCAGCCACCTGGGGGGCAGGCCTTAGTGAACAGACCTGAGGGTAGCAGTCTTCACTCAGGACATAAATTCTGGCTGACGCTGCACCTCGCAGCTCAATGGGCTGCGTAGACCTGTGTCTTGCAATGGACTCATCTCCCCCAAATTTGACCCTGTCATGCCCTAGACCTCCAGCAGGGCGGTGAGATGACTACACATCCATTGCCTATGCCAAGACTTACCTATATCTGAAATCAATAAAGCTGTGGTCATTTAATCCCAAAATGGTATCACGTCTAGTTCTTCTACCCTTTGTAGTCCTGCTCCCAGGGGTGGTGGCTTTGCAGCTGGGTACGCAAAAGGTATCTCTGTAATTCTGGGGTAATCAATGGACTTTTTCCGTTATTAATTAGAGGTGACAATTTTCAGAAATATTTATTTTTGCGTTTCCCATAAAACATTGTGTCCTAGGCTTTCACTGCCAACCTCTATTACTATGTCAGTGTCAAGGTTCGATTTCCTTTGCCATGTGTCATCCCCAATATACAGAAGAAAGTCTCTTTGGATTTGCTTACATTGAGCATTTTTAACACCCCAGTCTGATTGCTGGTAATTGCTTTCAAAATAATTCTCTTCTGTCTGACTAGGATTCAAATGTCTGAAGGATGGAACAACCAGAGGTTCTAAGGTGGCCCTTTCAATATTTTAGCTGGATCAAAAACCTAGGGTGAAATCCAACGTAAACCGTACTCTGAGGAGACCCACTGAAATCAATGGATTTAGATAATTTAAGTCCATTGATGGATCTACTATAACTAACTCAACAACACCCCGTAGATTGAATCTAACAACAGTGGAATGACTCCTACTTGTGCAATGGAATTTCCTCTACGCTTCCTCTCCCCAGGTTTCCCAGTATCCTCACCAAATCTGCTGGGTGGAATCCACAGAGCAGAGCCAGGTGGGGGAATGTGTGTGTGTGTGTGTGTGTGTGTGTGTGTGTGTAGAAGACCAAGTCCCAGTCAGCAAGTGGATGTCGTTCTGCTTGCACAACTTTATTGGATGCAACCAGGGCATGGGTGTGTGTGCCAGAGGGGCCGTGGTCCTGGACGGACAATTTTTGAGGGATGCGAACCAGGTACCCCAATGCAGGAGCCTCCAGCCCAGCATTCCTCTCTGCCCAGGGGCCACATTGGCAGTCTGGGCTCCCCACCGCATGGTCTGGCAGGTGGCTCAGCACCACCCCGCTTTGCTCTGGTGGGGGTGGGGTCACTCTGGCGGCAGCAGCAAAAGCTGGACTGGCATCCTTCCCACCTGGCACATGCCCACCCACCCCAGGTAACAGCTACTGGTGTTATTCCCTTGGATGCAACACCTTGTGCTTAAATTGTTGGTTTAAAGTGTTTCAGACATGGCAAGCGAGAGAATTGTGAGAAAAAGGAAAATACGTTCATTAAATATGTTAATGTGTCATGGAAATGCAATGCAATGTTCCATTTAAAATCATCCCATTCCTGGAAGTTGCTCACATAATGGTTTTAGTATTTTTAGACTCTGTATGTTGTTGATTTTATCTTTATTTTAAAAAAGTTTTTACCTTTGGTATTTTGACCCATTTTGTCTTGTGCACTGCTTTGGTAGCTTCTGGCTGTGAGGCAGTTTAATAATGATAAAATTAAAGATGGTTTTTGTGTGTGTGTGTGAAGCCTGGTCAGTAACTTACCTTCACCCCCATGTTAAGGATCTTTCAAGTGGCCCCAGAGCATCTGACCATGAACTAATGGCCTTAACTAAAGATTTACTATGTATCAAGCATGCTTTGCTAAGCAGACATTTCTCTAGTTATTCATCAAACAAGTTAAGAGGTAATATGAAGTCCATAAGTTTGTATAAAATGCAGCTGAAAGAAATAATCATTTCCGTTGCTGGAAAATATTATGACACAGATACTTTAGAAAATAATGACAATTTTATATCCTAGCATTGGATCCTATCCAGGCTCAATCACTCTGCCAGCTATGGGCTCAGACTGCAATCCTATAAACACTTACAGTGGTACCTCGGGTGAAGTACTTAATTCGTTCTGGAGGTCCGTTCTTAACCTGAAACTGTTCTTAACCTGAAGCACCACTTTAGCTAATGGGCCTCCCGCTACCGCCGTGCTGCCGGAGCACGATTTCTGTTCTCATCCTGAAGCAAAGTTCTTAACCCGAGGTAATATTTCTGGGTTAGCGGAGTCTGTAACCTGAAGCGTACGTACTTGTGAGTAAATCTCACTGAATTCCTTGGGACTTTTATCTGATGAGATATGCATAGGTTTTCTCTGTAAAACACTTGTCATTGCTGCTGAACCTATGAATTAGAAGAACCCCAGTCTTTAAAGTAAGTTTAAAGACATTTCAGGAAGCGATAACGTGCTATAAAGAAATGCAATGTACATTGTAGTTATTCGCCTATTACGAGCTATTTTGCAAAAAAGAAGAAACCATTACTGTAATAGCCTTAACATTCTTGGCATACAGCTTGGAAAATGGCATTTTGCTTATTCCCACTACCTTCCAGGTGCCACAAACACAACCACCCTGTTCCAAGCAGGGCTGTATACTAAACTAGTGGGCTGTGTTCAGAATCTTGCATTGCAAATTGCTCAAGCACAAAGCAACCATGAGCATTAAACAAGTGAACGAAGTGCCACAGTAGCATTGCTGTCAAATTTCAGTTCAAGTGAAGTTTAGATGAATTTTAAGAGGTTTGGACTGTGGCAACTTTGAGGCAAGTCTAGAGTAGGTTTTATAAGATTAACTTTTTTTTCCAGTGCAGTTACTCACACTTCTGTACACTGGAGGGAAAACCCCCGAGACCCAAAGCTTTTTAAAAAAATGTTCCAGCCAAATGGCAGCATTTAAAATTTATTTATTATTTGCTAAATTTCTATCTACCAAGTGTTGCTTAAGGTGACCATGATAGTCCCCTCTAGTCATGTTGCTGAGTTTCAGAATTGATAGGGCCATTTGGGTAAGGTCCATAGCTTCGTGGTGGAAGCTTTCTTGCAGTAGCCATGTGCATTCACATTTCCCCTTCTTTTCCACTTTTGGCTGAAAGGGGTGGGGTTTCTTTGCTTTAGGAGCCCTGCAATTCTTTGCAATGTGTCCTTCTTTGTTACAATTGAAACAAATCACCTTCTTAGGCATCTCTTTGGACTTTGTAAATTGCCTAGATGCATAACTGCTGTCCTTGATTTTAGCATTTCTCACTGGAGATTCAGCTCTATCTCTGCTTTCTTCTTTTAAATAACCAATCAAGTATTTAAAAGTCAGACCTTGTCTATGATCCATCAAACTTACAAATGCGCTAAAGCGTGGTCCAAGTGATGATAACAAAAATGCTATCTTTGTATCCTCATCAAAAGCTTTGGGAGTCAGATCAATTCTTTGAATAATCTCAGTAAACTTGTTGATGTGCTCTGTGAATTCCTCTTTTGAATTCATCCTCAATCTGGTTAATTTACACACCAAGTTTCTGAAGCAGTTTATGCTAGATTCTCCATACACGCGCTCAATATCTCTTAAGATTTGAGATGCATCATCTGTACTATTTATTAATGATAGCTGCTCATCACGAAGTCCACTCAAAATTATGTGTCTGGCTTCGCTGTTCATGCGTTTCCAAGCACTTATCTTGGCTAAAGCTTCCTCAGTTGTTCCTGTAGGTTGAGGGTTTAAAGCTTCCAAAATATGCTTATAATCTAAACATGCTATCAAGTGCTGCTTCCAGTGTATGAAATTGTGTTCATTCAGCACAGGCATTCCTAGCTTTGCATCACTATCAAAAGCTGCTCTAGCCATCTTAAAATCCAAAATTTGAAAATTATTCAAAATTTCAAAATTTCTCAAAATTTTAAAATCAAAATCTCAAAATGCAAAACAGTTCTTCACTGCCTTGGGTCACTGTGAACTCTGAGGGAAGGGGGGGGTTGCTTAATCCCCACTGCACAATGGAACAAAGGACCATGTGCTTACCAGGAAGTTAACTCAGAAAAATACTACTCAACTCAAAATCACAATCCAATGCAATCCTTCAAAAATACGCAGCGGAAGCGTGCTGGGCCCATAACCCTTTGTGGGAATGTTCTGGGGTGCAGGAGAGGATATATTGACTAATTATATCGTTATCCAACTTGTGCTAACAAGTTCCCAAAATATCAGCAGAGTTTATAGACATTCCCCTTTAAGTTCGCAACGGTAACGTGTGCACAGGTTCGCTAGAACCTCTATAATAATTACTCTGGTAATTTCCCTTTTGTTCCCTCTTAAAATACAAGACACGACACAGTCTTTATAACAGTCTAAAAGAGTTTACTCACGTTCTGTTCACAATATGATCCCAGAAGGTAGACAGCTTAAAAAGGTTACATACATTTAGAATCTATCTTGTAGCAAGATAGTCCTTATCTCCTCTCTTGGCTGGGAGCCAAGAGGGAATCCTTAGATGTTTCCTCGTTGAAGGAAAATGGCAGAGAGAGAGAGATGGCTGCTTGCCCTGTGCTTTTATCATTTACCTGCACAGGTGAGGCCACACCCACCTCTGGTCACATGCGGAGGAAGTCCATCCCCAGGAAGTTTACCTGCTTGCTGGACAGACATCCCTCCCCATGTTCTAACATGTACACTCTAGGAATGTTGTCATTGACTGCTCCTGTGTTTACATCCCACAATTCCAACGTCAGGATCTGACATGGGAGGTCCCAGGGACTGTTTCCCAGGCAACAAAGGAAGCCTCTGTGCCAAGCTGAGACACTGGGGAACCTCTGCAAGCCAATGGGAACATAGGAAGCCACCTTTTATCAGAATTAGTAGTTATAAAGTTAAATATGGTCTCCTGTTATTTTGGGTTGGAGGGAAGGCTCCACTCTTTAGCTTGCTCTTTCTTTTTCCTATGGAGTTCCAGCCTCTTGTACTGGGCCTACAAAAGTGCATGACCTTACCTTCTATTTCAATAACATGATTCTTCCAGTTCTTCTAGTCACAGTTTCATCAAATTCATTCTTGGGATGGGAGTGGGGGAATCTTTCACCTTTATTATAAACTTGCATAAGTTATTCTCATTGATGTACAAGTTCCAATTTATCCATTTCGATCTTTTTATAATGGTATTCCTCAAAAGATGAGGGAAATCCATTTGAAATGGAACTTAAGCCTGCTGTCTGGCATATAATAATGTCTGGAAAAGGTTTGCTGATGAGCTGTAAAACAGTAGTTGCATATAGTTACAGTAACATTAAACTCATATATATGAGTCATATGATTCTATGAATCATAGAATTGCTGAGTTGGAAGGGATCCCAAGGGTCATCTAGTCCAATCCCCTGCAATGCAGGAATCTCAACTAGATCACAAAGGACAGATGGCCACCCAACCTTGGCTTAAAAACCTCCAAGGAGGGTCCACCACCTTCTGAGGGAGTCTGTTCCACTGTCAAACAGCTCTTACTGTCAGAAAGTTCTTCCTGATGCTTAGTTGGAATCTCCTTTCTTGTAACCTGAATCAATTGGTTATGGTCCTAGCCTTTGGAGCAGGAGAAAACAAGTTTGCTCCATCCTTCAAGCAACAGCCCTTTAGATATTTGAAGATGGCTATCCTATCTCCTCTCAGTCTCCTCTTTACCAGGCTAAACATGCCCAGTTCCCTCAACTGTCCTTCATCAAGCTTGGTTTGCAAACCCTTAATCATTCTGGTTGTACTCCTCTACACACGGAAGCTTGTCAATATCCTTCTTAAATGGTGGTGCCCATAACTGGACACAGTGCAGTGGTACCTCGGGTTAAGAACTTAATTCTTTCCAGAGGTCGGTTCTTAACCTGAAACTGTTCTTAACCTGAGGCACCACTTTAGCTAATGGGGCATCCTGCTGCTGCCGTGCGATTTCTGTTCTCATCCTCAAGCAAAGTTCTTAACCCGAGGTACTATTTCTGGGTTAGCGGAGTCTGTAACCTGAAGTGTCTGTAACCTGAAGCGTCTGTAACCCGAGGTACCACTGTATTCTAGATGTGGTCTCACCAAGGCAGAATAGAGGGGGACTATTACTGCACTTGTTCAGGACACTTTATTTCTGTTGATGCAGCCTAGGGTAGTGTGAGCTTTCTCCCCCCTCTTACTTTTGCTGCTGCTGCATCCCACTGCCCACTCATAGAATCATTGAATTGTGGAGTTGGAAGGGACCCTGAGGATCATCTAGTCCAAGCCCCTGCAGAGCACACTTCTTAGTCAACCTAGCTAGGATAAGGCTGCTGGAAAGCTATCACTCTCAGTCCCAGTAGCGTGCAAAGTTTTACATGGAAGGAATTTGCAAAGCTGACCCTGAATCCGAAAAAAGGTTAAGCATCAAGGATTTATTTACTGAAGGGATGTTTGGGTGTTCGACGAAACAGGGAGACTGTGGCAGCTGTTTCATATACACTGTCGGGAGCAGATGTTTCAGTGGCATTTAACTAAAGAGGAAATACTATGGCTGTTCAGCTTTGAATGTGACTATCTCAAAGTACTGTGAGTAGCAGGGGCACAGGCTAGGGTCTATTTTAGGACATACTGAAGTTGCAAGTCTTTCTGAGGGTACTTTCTGGGCCTCCTACAATGAGTAAACAGAGAAAATGTTGGGTGAGTGCTCAAGCTAGCACAGAGCCTACAGCCATGACCCAAAGCAGTTATTTCCACCCAGCTAGGCAGACTGTCTCACTCCTGAAGTCACTTTGAAGTTCTGCCCACAGCAGCTCCTGCTGACCAAAAGCCAAGTTGTCTCTAAGCCCAAATGTAAGCTGAGTTTTTTGGGAGTGGAAGCTGCTACAGGGCAACCTTCAAAGGAAGCTCTTTGGCACCAATGGCATGGGCAACATCACCCACCTATGACGTCTTTGGACAGTGGCCTATGCATTTAATTTGATTGCATCCTTATTTAATTAACTAAGCTATAATAGGACCTCTGTTTGTTCCCAGTGTTCTTTGAATTTTAATGGTCTGTTAATCAATGTGAGGGGTTTCGAACTTTAATGAACTACCAGTGCATGGACATTAGCCATCCATTATGCATGCTATATATTTTTCTTAAATAGTGCAGAGTGCATACTTCCAAAACATTTAAATGGGGCTTGGAGATGAGGACCTCCTGATGGATTGTGTCCTTCGTTTTTACATTAGGAACTTAAATCAGCAGTGTGTTTCTATTTGTCCTTACGTTCTTGGTCCAGTTTTCCAATGAAATGATTGATAAGTTGACTTCTGGTGGCTGAAACCCCATGGAATCAATTTTAAAGGCTGTTGTGCTGGGTTTTCCAAGATAAATGGAGCACAGTCAAAATGAAACAAAGAACATTAGGCAACTTTAGTTTTGCCACTTTAACAATGCAATCTTATACAAGTATACTCAAAAGTATTGTTGAAAAGAGCCTAAAGTTAATAATTGTTAATGTCACTTCTTCTGTAGACTAACAAGTCTGAGATTTGCAACTTTCCCCTGGGTCTAGATGAAGATCCCAATCTTAACTTTGAAAACTAAAATACATAGAGTAGTGGCACATTTGAAGGATAACAAATAGTTTCCAAAACTTTCTCCAGGAGATACTTTTTGTTCCCTTCCCAGTACTAAACCACTATTTTTTTTTCTTCATTTAGAAAGCTCTGTCCATGTACTGTAATCAATTTTTCTACTATCCATGAGGAGAGAGGGGGACCTTTTTTTTGGTAAGCAGAACCTGTTCAAAATATATGCTAATAATTTGGGATGAATGGGGATGGGCACAGTGCCAACCAACCCTGCTTGCATTTGTTGTATACAGACTGGTTGGTGAGTAGACTGGTTGGTGAGAGCCAGTGTGGTGTAGTGGTTAAGAGTGGTAGTTATGTAATCTGGGGAACCGGGTTCGCGTCTCCGCTCCTCCACATGCAGCTGCTGGGTGACCTTGGGCCAGTCACACTTCTTTGAAGTCTCTCAGCCCCACTCACCTCACAGAGTGTTTGTTGTGGGGGAGGAAGGGAAAGGAGATTGTTAGCCGCTTTGAGACTCCTGAAGGGGAGTGAAAGGCGGGATATCAAATCCAAACTCTTCTTCTTCTAGACATCTCAACAAGAGGGTCTTCAGTGTGGAGGCACCTACATACTGAAATTTCCTCCCATTAAATATCAGACTCCATTGTCATTTGGGAATCTACTGAAGATCTTCATCTTTAATGAAGCCTTTGAAATCTTTATTGCAGGCTGTATCTGTACTGGAACTGTGTGTGTGTGTCTGTTGGTATATGGGACTTGGGCTTGCCGATCAGAAGGGCTAACATTAGATGCAGCCCATTATCTACTTTTGAATTTTAAAATCGTAGTCTCAGGGGACTGGGGCATTTTGGATCAAGACTGTAATGTGCAGGGAGCTTGCTAACCTTCGCTCCTCACAATGTGGTCCATACAAAAAATTATCCCACCAACTGCAAGACTGCTTTTGTTCTGTATGAGGGAAGCTCTCATTGATGTTAACAGGAACCTCCTTTCCAAAGTCAACAGAGGTTGGGATGGATTAATTTTCATCGGCAAATAGGGCAACGAGTTTGATCCCACAAACCGAGATTTCGATTCTGATCACCACCCACTCCAAACAGCTTCTATTTTTTACATTTTTAAATTTCAATATGCTGGATGCAAAAGCAATCATACAATCAACTCTATGTCTAATTTGTCCTGACAAACTGCAGAAGGATCCTGGCAGCATAATGGGGTTTCTTTTTGCAAGATTGTTTTGTGGATTGATGCTATCTTGACATGCGGCCAATGGTATCTGCATCAGGATTGTGATTCACTGCCCTCGC